AATTTTAATTGCATGCTTACTGTGTACCAAATGCCTTGCTAGCATTCCCAGCAAGGAACAAGATAGACATGGTACCTCTCCTCCGGGATTTAAGGTTTACCCTGAAACGAGGACAAGTTCCCTTCAGGAAAGCATCGGCACCGCACTGTAAAACAATTCCAACCCTGGCAGCTCCAGGATGCAAAACCAGAGTGCCTTTAAGGATGGATGTGGGAGACGAACATCACAGAAACTAAAACCATAGAGTAGGAAGATGCAGAGAACAGCTCAGAGGGGCAGAGTGGAGGAAATGTCCTCAGACTTTCCAGTGTATACTCTCGAAATCAAAAGCTGCTCTTTCCCCAACCATGTTAAAAAAAAAAAAAGAGCAAAAAAAGCACTTTACTCTGGGTCCATTTTCCAACCCCAGCAGAAAATGACACCTCCATGGTCCCTGCTGCCTCAGCTATCACCAGGGAGAGGTGAAGTACTGGTCTGCTTCTCCAGGCAAATACAGTCACACATCGTCATATTCAACCAACTGCTGACCAAAAATACTATGTCTACACTAAAAAGGCACTGTCACTTTTCGTTCCCGTTACTCCCTAACTGGCACAGGGCAGTGACTGTTTACACCACATGTACATTTCATTAGATGTCAGCTGTGAGGTCAAGATGACTTAGAGTATACAGGAGAAGCAGCGCAAGCGGTGCACACTGGTGTCCCAGCTGCTGGGGAGGCGGGGGGACGAGGATTGCTTGATCTCGTAAGTTCAAGACCAGCAAGACCCCATCTCAAAAAACAAAAAAGAGAAAAGAAAAGTATACAGGAGGATGTGTGTAAGTAAATGTAAATGTAAAAGTAAGTATATGTAAATGCTGCACCGTTTTATGTAAGGGACTCCAATATCTATGTATTCTGATGTCCTGGGGAGGAAGAGGAGACTCCTGAGACCAACCCTCCATGGACACCAAGGAACAATTTTACTTAAGTAGCCTTCTGCCACAAACAAACAAGCAAAGTCAAAGCTGAAAATAAAAGCCTGGGGACAAGATGCTGGAAACCTTGGAAAGCGACCTTCAAGATATGTTCAGTCTAACTGGAAGCATCTGAACATAAAAGTGATACGAAGTCTACACTGACTATTTTACAGCAAGGACAGCAATGACACCAATTATTTTTTGTGCTAGTCAAAAGAGCTTGTCATTCTTCCACAGAACAATTATCTATAGGTGCCTAATAGTTAAAAGCTAAATTCTTTCCCCCATTCAGCATGGGAAAAGTGCTGCTCACAGCAATTTGACATCATTTCACTAAATTAGATTAATTTTTAAATGTGTTATTCTAACAATTATGCCAACTACCATGTAATTAATATGCCAACTGACTTTACAAAAATTACGAAAATCCCCTGAAGAAAATAGCTAGTCATTAGGCATGCATGAGACCCTTCCACGGCCAACAGCTGATAAAACAGCAAGTTCACCGCATAATGGGCGGCATCACAGCCCTTCCCACACTTCCTTCCATCCTAGCCAACAGTGCGGAAAGCTGACACCGGCAAGTTACCCCAACTTCAATCCACATATTAATGCACTCACTGGTTTACATTCTTTGAGGGTAAAGTGATGAATAGTGAAAGCTCTGGCAATTAAAAAGCTCTTTTCATTTGTAAGCAACGCAAGATAAACACATATAATTAATTGTTTTGCTTCTTCCATGTCACCAGCTGGAAATTAGAATACTAGCTTATTTCTGGAGGCTACTCCTTGAGTTTATTAAGGCATCCTCATCCTGTTTTTCCTCTTTTCTTTCTGGGGAGTAGGGATTCTTATTATCTACCTTAAATCCTTCACCAAGTCAGGTAAGGTATAAATAAGCAATGTTCATATGGGACATCATCTACCATCACAGATGATAAATACATTTTCTTTGCAGCCCTCCTTTGAGCAACTGCCAGAGGCTGCCTCCCCCCTGAAGAGCTGCAAGGGCTGTGAGCTGATAACACACAGTCTCAGCAGGAAAGAATACAACACTTGATTAGTGATGTCTGCCCTGGAAAGAGCAATAGTTTGAGGACCTGTAACACCATATATTTGTCAACTTCATCCTTTGTTAAACCATTACAAATGCTTTAAAAATGCATACAGATGGAACAAATAAAATGTGTCAATGAAATATCCTATGAGTTGTTTCTAAGATGCAACCAAAAGGGGGAAGGATGTTTTCTACAGTTCAAAACCTTAAAGAGAACTGAACTAAGCATCAAGGTTTAGAGGAAAAAACAATGACCTAAGTCAGGAAACCCAAACTCTAGTCTAGCTAGGGCACTGTGAAGAAGTCAGTTCACTGGGCCTTGGTCTGCTTGGCTCTAACCAGGAGGCTCAATCTCTTGACTGTTCTCTTCTGTTGGGGCATAGGAAATGAAACCACAGTTGCTTTGTAGATACTTCACCTGACTAGGCCCAGGACAGGTCAACAACCTCATCACATGGGATATGCACATATGAATTTTTATACATACTGTTTACCTGTAGCATCTCCAAAGCAAGAAGTTCCATGTATATATTTTTTTCCCTTAATACAATTTCTTTTCCACCTTGGGACAAAGGTGAGGTTCAGCAAACAGCTGAACAATTAAATTCAGTGAATAAGTAAACTATCTTCATTCAAAACCACTTCAATGCAACATCAATCACTTACGGTTTTGAGACTGGCTTATATGTTCCCAACACTGAAGTCCCTGTCACTCTAGCCTTTAAGAACTTTACCCACATGACATATCAACATGGTTTTACTGTCCAAACACCAAAAAGCAAGACTTTGTACAAGGAGACTAACTAGAAATAAGTCACACCATATACTGACCAGATTCTATCCCCATACCAGGTAACTTTATGAGTAGATGACGAAGATCACCCCTGACAAAACCAGGAAGCTCACAAGGACAGTCTGAGAGGACAGGGCTATCTGCTGGGCCGGGACAGTCCCATGCCTGGCTTGGCAACTGCAAGAACATCTCTACTTTTCTGTTTGCCCTGCCATGGTTTGGCTATGTTTAAATGTGTGTCTGCACCCCCACCCAAGGTTCATGTACTGAAAGCTTGATCCTTAGAGTAGCACTGATAGTGTAGAGTCTTTAAGAGGCAGGGCCTAGTAGGAGGTCCTTCGGTCATCTGGGGACACTCAGGACTGTGGGACCCTGCTTCTCTGGCTTCCTGTCTGATGTGACCTCCTCCTCCTCCCACACACACTCCCATCACTCTGATGCCACCCACCACGAGGTCCTCACCAGAGTCAAGCCAATGCTGGTGACTGGCCCTTGAATCTCCAAACTGCGAGCTAAATAACCCTCTTTCCTTTATGCAGTTAGCCTGTGCAGGCAGTTGTTTGTAGTAACAAAACGTGGACTAAGCCAGCCTCCTTGTGGGAACTGCCCCTCCCACTCCAAGGAGCATCACTGCTTGTGCTTCAGGTGACCTGAGCTAAGAATCTCCCCCAGGGATTCAGTGAGCCACCTCTGGGACACCTACCAAGCAGGGCCACAGTCATTTCTCAAGGTCTGATCCAGACACTAGGAGAGCTCCAAGCAGAAGCTGACAACATGCCTGATATTTCCCAAAACTTGGAAAATATCAGAACAACAGAAAGCATGCCTCAAGAGAGAAAGGAGGTTTCTGCCATATCACCTGGGTGCCCTGATCCTCATGAGCTCACCCTCACACCAGAAAGCCCAGAACAGTTTAGTTCTTTGACCCAATGAAGTCTCTTCCAAACTCCTAGACATAATCTACTAGGCCAAACTGAGTTTCTACCATGGGCAGCCAGAAGTTTGGGAGAATGGCTAGCCATTTAAAGTTCAAGTTATTTCTTTAGTATCTGAGGACAAATCACCCTCTTTCTGAATCAGATCAGCTTCTAGGGTTCTACTTCAAACCAAAGATAATAAAATACTAAAAGAAAAATTCAAATAAAAATCTCTACACACCAGAAAACCTGTAAATGCTCATCTATCATCCAGGACCTAAGGGAAAAAGGCCCAGAGACAAGAGGAAAAAGGTGATGGATAACTAAGGGAGCAGAGCAGTTCAGAGCCAATAACTAGGAACAATTCTCTCTGGGGAGCTAAAAGAATAATGAGAACCGCTTTCAAAATTGTTCCTAAAGTATTTTCTAGTGCCCTATAAACAGAAAAACATACATACAACAACACATAATAAACAAAAGGAACTCATGAGAAAACAAACTGTTTCTAGGCTTAATGAGCCTATCTGTTCCTGTTTTTAGACTAGTTTAGCTTTGCTTTCATAGCTGTCCTAAGGTCTAAGCCATGGGGCTGCCAGACGAAGGAAACCATGAATATAAATTCTAGGGAGCGTGTTAGGAACAGTCTCCTTTCAGATGGGGCCTAAGGTAATTAGTCCACTAACAGACAGCCTTCCAGTGATGTTCTCCCATTACAGGAGACAGATAGTAAGAGAAAAAACCATGTGAATGACTGAACATTTAGATCATCAGTCCTTAACCTTCTAGGGATCACAAACACCTCGGAAACTCTGATGAAAGTTAGGACACCTTTCTCAGACAAAAATATACATGTCACAACACACTACATATAGTATCAAGAGGTTCATAAAAGCTGCTCCCTACCCTGTCTCCAGATTAAATACACCTGACTTAAAATTCTTTCAAAAATGTGATTACCTGAGTATCAGTATTAATCCTCAGAGACTTCAAAGTACCACAGAATAGCTTAGAGGGATATTCTAAAAATTCCAACCCTGTAACTCCATACTGAATCAAAAATAAAAAAGAAAGGGGTTGAGGATGTAGCTCAATGACACAGTGCTGGGCTAGCATGCACAGGCCCTGGATCTGATCCCCAGTATGGCAAAAATAAATAAATAAATACAGAAAGAATTTAAAAAGAAATAAAAACTGACCCTCACTTGCTATACTTAGGGGAGATAAGCAAATGTGGCTTTTGCTCTATTCACTCTATTTATGATGGCTCCCTTACCTTGTTGGACCACTTGTAAGCCTGCAGGAGTTGGCTATAGAGAGGAGTTTTGTCTTGCACAGGATCCAGGCTTAACAGCCCACTGTTGTGGAGAGGATGGTTCTCAGATGGCTTGCCTACCAAGTTGCTCAGACGCTCCAGCTCACTGAAAAACAAAGCAAATAAAATTGAGTCCACTTAAACTCCAGCATATCAACCACACCAGTCAGCAGCTGCTCTTCAAAGCACCCGTCAGAAGTGCCTTAAGAAGAAATATCTTGTGAGTGAATGGTAAAAAAGACCAGGAACAACCAAGAAAAATCCTAACTTGGAGTTTAATCTCAATTTAAAACAGAACTCCCTGGTACTGTTCCAAAGGAAAAAAAAAAAAAGTTAAGAGTACAAGAATCAGAATCAGTAAGACTCCTAAAATCAGGATTTAACAACTCAAATTAGTCTCTGCAGGGGAGGAGACTTTCTGGGATCTTGCAATGTGGCACAACACTGCCTCTCACGAAGGGTTTTCAGACCCACGTGCAGATCACTACATTTGGCAGAACAGCAAGTACCTGAATAAATGATGATTATTTATCATCCACATAGGGATAGACTTTGTACATGACGCCTCACAGATGGTAAAACTTAGCAAAACAAAGAGATAAAATAAACAAATGCAATGGGAAGACACCACAGAGGGGGTTGTGTCAAACAAACACTTCAGTCTAGCAGCAAAACTCTGAGAAGCTGAGGAAAGTGAGCCAACAGCAAAAGCACATTCCTGAGGCACATTCTGAGGGGCCAGTCCCCAACTGCCAACAAAAGACTCTCTTTCTGAACAGCATCTCATGCTACGCTCTTTCCGGAATCTTCAACCATCTTCTTGCCACTACTGTACAGAGATTGAAGAAGGCAGAGGGATAGCATTATTATTTAAAGTTTCTAAAACGGTAAAGGGCTTTATCAGGGATACAGCTCAATGGCACAGCACCTGCCTGGCAGCGAGAGCTCCTGAGTTCAATTCCCAATACCAAAAAAAAGAGAGAAACAAATCCAGAGAAAATGGACATGCAAATGAGGAAACAACCTCTGTGGCTCCTCAAGCAGGGAAAGTATTAACTGGTGCTCAGCACTGCACCCACAGATGGCTACTGGATGTGGGAACTGAGGAAGGATCATTTGGCCACACTACCTCTGCCATCCTACCTCTTCTTTTCACCTGGTTACTAAGGAGACCAAATTGCAAAAATACAATTGGGCTAAGGGTGTAGCTCAGTGGTACGGCACTAGCCTGGCAGGCCCAAGGCACTGGTTTCCATCACCAGCACTAAAATCACAGGATGAATAGTTCACCAAATACCTTTTCCTACTAAGCTCAGTTCTGAGAAATAAAAGCAAAAAACCTGAAATTTTAACCTTCCTGGGTAGGACCAACGCTCCTAAGGAAGAGAAGGCAAATTCAGGATTTAGGCAACCAAGTAGTACCTAGCATGTGCTAGGCTTTGACAAACATGCTCTTATTTAATTCCTACAACAATACTTATGAAATAGAAAGTGATTTGTAAGACAGAAGAAAATGTACAATCCAGACCCTTAACAGACCACAAACGATAAGACTGGGAAAGGAGATCAAAGCATAAGTGATTATTTTGGTTAACAGATTCGAGATTAGGTCTCTACTGAGAAGAACTGAAGGAAGGCACTGCAAGTGAAGCACCAGTACTGAGCAAGTGGCTTTAGTGGGGAGAACGCCAGATCAAGGCCTATTTCGTCGTGTCTGGAAGCGAGATGAGGTGGAACTGATGAGCTCCAGGTTGAGGGGCGGGACCCTGGGCCAAAGAGATCCAGGGCCCCGGTGTGGGCCAGTGCTAATCAGGTGCTGTCACGTCTGTCAGTACAGTCTGACCACACACGACGGGGCGCCCAGGGCCCACAGGTGACAAACCTGCTGGGCTCCGCGAAGTAAAAGTTCCCGGCAGGAGCACGCCTCCTCGTGGGGGCGACGTCCCAGCGGGGACCGAGGACAGGGGAAGGCAGCCAGGACTAGGCGGCCGAGAGAACGGAGGCGAGACAGCGGCGCTGGGGGCTAAGGCGCCCCGAGGGGTGGCAGAGACTGGGAGAGGACAGCAACAGAACGGAGAGCAAGGAAAAGGGGGAACACCTTGACCGCGGAACCTCGCGCGGGGCTGCAGCACGGCGGGAACAGGGCGGGTCCTCGACCCCACTCCCTCAGCCGGTACCTACTTGAGGTCCCGGTTGACCGAATGCAAGTTGTCCTGGAAGTGCGCAATGAAGGCCTTCTCCCGGCCCTCCAGCGTCTCTTTGTTCCGCATGCCATCCTTCAGGCAGTCGAACACCCTGCTCACGCTGGAGCGCAGCGCCTGGATGGCACTGATAGCCTGGGCAAAGGCCTCCAGGTTCACCCCGACGCTCAGCACGTCAGCCATGTTGCAGCCACAGCCTCGGGCGCTCCCGGGTCGGCTCCACGAGCAAAACGTCGCGCGAGCTGATGACGTAGGCTCAGGGGGCCTCTGGGAAACGTAGTGCGCGCGCAGCTTCTCGAAGGAAATAGGGTTTCCACTCTGACAAAAGGAGTGCGTGGGCGAGGAAAGGGATCTCAATTTGGGGAAATCAGGCTGCGTTTCCGATTGCATAATGGTTTGCTTAATGACTTGCCTCACCCCAGAGTAAAGGCTTTTTCTGAATAAACTGAGTTTATGTTCATAGATAAACTGGTGGAAGGGAGAATCTCTTCCCTATAATAGAAGGACAACCAGTAGATATAGAATAGAATTAGAAAAGTGCCATTTGGCAACCATTAGAATAATGACTCAGGTAGGAATCAATAGAAGCTAAAGCTAGCAGGCAAAAGCATGAAAGTGTAACAAGAATAACAACAGGGTATTTTACATAGTGTATTTACATAGTGTCAAAGTATGCCCCCAAGAAACATTCATTAAGAAGGGGGAAAATGATTCAACAATTTCACTTCTAGGCCCATACCTAAGCTAACTGAAAGCAGGGCCTCAGAGAGTATTTGTACACGCGTGATCATAGCACCATTAACTACAGTAGTCAAGAGGTGGAAGGGACCCAACTGTCCATCAAGAGATGAACAGGTAAGTATAATGTGATCTATTCAGGCAATCAAATATAATCCAACTTAAGAAGGAAGAACATTCTGACATATGCTCCTCGCATGAGAGCTAAGTAAGACCTGTAGATTCCTTTATAGAATTTTACTGGTTACAATTTCATGGATGAAACCTCAGGGCATTATGCCAAATGTAACAGGACAGCCAGGAAAGGATACGCGCCATAGCACTCCGTTTATACACAGTACTTAGAGTCGTCAGAACCATACAGACAAAAGTGCAGTGTTTGCTGCCAGCTTGGTTTTCAGGGCAAAGTTTGCACATGGCAAGAAAACACATAGCAGACCGATTGTGAAAAAAGGTTTGAGATTTAAACAAAATCAATAAAATATTGGCCAAATTTGACTTTATGGAAGTACATGGTATTCTCTAAATTGTTTCTCTGTCTTGTCAGCTATGGATAGGCTTCTGAAATTTCACTATGTCTGCTATTAGAGAGGATCTTCCCAGTCCTCTTGTTCTGTCCTTAGAAGAGCTGAGAGTACTTGGAGCAGAGAAGATGGGAGCAGAAGGAATGATGGTGACCTTTTCAACTTCCCTCTGTGCCAGTCAGGAAGAAGAGTCCTTCTAAGCATTCTAGGGGCAGTAGCAAGAACTAGTGGTAGGGAAGCTGTGGGAGGAAGATTTCAGATTGCAAAGGGTTCGGTGGGCATAGACTTGGAAAAGTTCTTTGGTTGGATGGTGGTGATGGTTTGCACAGCAGTGTGAATGTACTTAATGCCACAGAACCAGGCACTTCGAATGGTTAATTTTATATACATAAAATTTTATGTACATTTTACCCCTTGTTTTAAATTTAGTAATGTTAAACAGGGGGGTGGAATAGCGACTTCACAGTGGAGAAGCTGGCAGACACCAGCGTACCCAAGAGGTCAAGGTGAACGTTGCCAGTGTTCGGACACGTTGTGTACTTGCTGATATGGTGCGGCGAGAAGGGTACAATGAGACTTCTGTAACATTCCTACCACAAACACAAAGCCTGACTTTAATTAGGACATAAATCAAGCTCCAATTGAAAGACATTCAACAAAATAACTAACTTGTAAAAAAAAAAAAAAATCACTGACTTATTTTTTTAAAACACAATAGGTGTAACATGAAAAATAAGGAAAACTGAGGAACTGTTCCACATTAAAAGAGACTAAAGAGCCAGGCGTGGTGGCACACGCCTGTAATCTCAGCACTCGGGAGGCTGAGGCAGGAGGATTGTTGTGAGTTCTAGACCAGCCTGGGCTACAAAGTGAGCTCAAGGCCAGCCTGAATTGCATAGCAGGACCCTGTCTCAAAAAAGACAGACAGAGAGAGAGAGAGAGAGAGAGAGAGAGAGAGACTAAAGAGACACAACAACCCAATGCAGTGCGTGATCTGGGATTTTTCTGCTGCTGGCTTGATTGGGGAAATTGATAAAATCCAAGTAAAGTCTTTGGATTAGTTAAGACTATTTTATCAGTGATAGTCTTACAGTTTTAATTGTGGTTATAGAAAAAGACATCCTTGTTCTGGGGACATATCTCAAGCGATAAAAGAGCATCTGCATGAGAAGAAAATAATATGGACATGTTTATTCAGAGAGAGACAGGTAAGCAAAATAGTAAAATGTTAGCAGTCATGGAATCTGGGTGAAGGGTATACAGGACCACTCTGTACTATTTTTGTAGCTGTTTGAAATACTGTCACTGTTTTAAGTGACTTACTACTTTAAGGAGTCAGGTAAATATAAGCACAGTGCAGAAGGCAAAAAAAATCTTCAATTCTATCAGGCTATGCTGACCAGAATTCCATTTTCTTAATAATTCCACACTTCCCCTTAACCCCATTCATGGTACCATTGCAATTCAAATCCGCTAATTTGGGAACCATAACAATAAATTCGCCACAAAATTTGGGCCTTGATTTGTTCCATGAGAAAACGCTTAGACACAATTTAAATTAATTCACGGTCCCCTGTGAAAGAAGGCTGCTTTATTTACTTGAGTTTATAAAGTTGGTTTTATTTCCAGATTTCAACCTCACATTTATGGTGTTGCTGTTTATAGTGTTTCTTTAGCGGGTGGGGGTGAGGTTTGTAGAAGACGGCTGGCTGTAGAACTTTTACCCAACTTATTGATCCTCCCTGAGCCTCAGTTTTTTTTATCTGTGAAATAGGACTGGTAATAATACCTGTCTTCATAAAATAGCCATGAGCTTTAATAACACCTCACAGGGAAAAGCTTTTTAAGTGATACTTGGTATACAGTAAACATTCAGAAAACCGTAGCTGTTGGAAGGTGCCTCTGACTTTTCCCTTGGAGGATTCTTCACACAGAATCCAGCAAAAACTAGCAAGGGGTCTGTTAGTTCAAAGTATTTCTAATAACAGGACTCTGTTGATAATAGCTTGTTAATTAACTGTGTCCTATAATTTCTATTTTGGGCAGACTTTTATCTCCTTTGGGATGTAGCTGGTTTTACAGTTTTTGTAGGAAATATTTCTTGACGGTTACAAAAGTAAAATAAATCAAAGTAAAGAAAAATATCCATCATTGTTGCCTTGTTTGGGGTTTTAGCTTTAGTTTGTTGTTTCTAGGGAAAGAGTAAGGCAAATTTTATTATCATGTTTCCTTACCTTTCAGGGGTCCACAGAGGATTAGAAAATGTGATCTATGTTGTGTACGTTGTCCCCAAGGGGAAAAAATGGACCAGTCTGTTTCTGCTCCCCCCTATGTACCCGTGAGCATGAGATTTTGCATAAAGTGTCGGGGTTTAAAGGCCCTATGATGTCCAAACATGAACCTGTGGCCAAATATCAATCATGGTTGGGTTTCCAATGCCAGGCATGCAATAGATGCCAATTGGAAGTTTATGGAAGGATTGAAATAATGTGTTGCCTGTGCCTAGCTGTCTGTGCCTTCTTGGATCCTCTCTCCAAGTTATTTCATCCCTCCGTACACGCAGAGCTCATGTCTCCATCTTGCTCAGCCCCCCTTCTCCCTCCCCTCCCCGTTTTCCTTTGTCTCTTGCTCTGATTCAGTGGTTAGACTCTGATTGGTGCAATAAAGTACAAATAGACTTTGCTCACACAGTCATTAGTTTTCAGAATTTCTCTGTGGCTCCCCTCTTCTGGGAAACTCAGAAATTGATCAGTGGAAATACACATTTCCCCTGAACCTAGTAAGGAGTCTTTTATCACGTCAATGGCAAACTTTTCATTTTGGAAAAGAACGGACAGGGGTTCTCTAAGGTGTTGTAAATTCTTGAGAATGTTGGCACTTACATGCTTACGTCTGGGGGGGGCTATAAATTATTTTAAAGGAGTTCATTTTGAGAAATATCAGATTTTAATTATTATGAGCCTATGTTTGGGTAAAAGGCGGCACCCTGCTGCTAATATCTTCCAAAATGAACAAGCCGTTAGCTTGATGTTATCAGCTCAGGAGTATTAGAATGAGCAATCAGAATTAAAGTTGTCAGTATTTAATTAAAATAGGCTGCAACTCCCATCATATTCAGAGAGCATGTGGTTTAAGCATTCAGACTGAGAAAACATCCTCATCAATTAATAATTATTAAGGATTCACTACATACAGAACAATGGGCTGGCCGGCTGGCTGGCTGGATGTCACCGGACAGATTTAACTAGATCTGCCTCCGATAAACCACAGTGTCACTCAGCCACCTGTCGTAATCAGTGCAGCACAATGCTTAAGACATCGTGCACCAGGCTGAGGAGTAAATCGAGGCAGCATGCAGTCCTGGGGACATCGTAGGCATTCCCATTAGTCATTCAGTACATACACATTGAATGGGTCCAACATCTTGCTATGCAGCTGGGGAATCAATAGTACAGCCAGGTCTGGTTTAGCCCAACAAAGACCACTAAAAATATCCGAGATGACTTATATGTTCCTCCACGTTTGCCTGGTCAAGGCTCAGAGTATCAATCATGCTTACATAGCTCACAATCAGATTTATTATAATCGGTCTAAAGCAAGTGTGGTAAAGAATCCTCTTTTGCTCTCTTCTGACCCTTTTCCTCTTATTTCCTATCATGATTTTGACATGATGCTGATGACAATGATGACCATGAAGGCAAAGATCAAATGGATGGATCTCCAAAACAAAGAAAGTCCTGGAAGTCAGCCTGGACAGGGGCTTCTATGCACAATCCTTCCCAACCTGTGTCCTTGCATCTAGAGAAGAAGGAGGTGGGTTCCCTCCAGCGCTAACAATCCTAGAATATAAAATCAAGAGGAATTTGTTAACCAAGAGGAAGAAAAAGGAGACAACCATTAACTGTGAATATTTATTGTAACCACTGTGCCAGGCTTTCTGTGCTCCTGAAATTGTCCAGGAACATCCACCC